TAAAAAAAGAAAAATAACCTGAGAACAAAAGTGAAGATTCCAAAACAAACTAAATCCAGCAGCCCGGACAGAAGCTGCTTTTAACTGTAACCGTATTTCTTGATACCTGGAGAGCTTTGATCGAAGATAATATTTCTGGTTCGTTTTTAAAGTCTCTGAACAACGAGTCAGCTGCTTCAACAAATAACTCTTTAACCATCTCTACGTCTTGAAAAGACTTCTTGTGCTCAACAATTAATTGTAAAGCGACTCACACAGAACGATGCTTCGCTGCCGGTCAGCTGTAAGAAAAATGCCGGCTGTCCGGATAACTGGGATTTTAGTTCCTTCACCTTTTTCTTTCTCCGCTCGCTTTTCGGAAGGAAGTCAGTGTCGTAGTTTTTATGGATATAGTCCAAAAATGCCGCTCTACATTTCCCTTCTTTGGAATAACAATGGTACACTTGCAGATGAGGCAAACGCTCTTCGTATATGACATCGTGAAAAACAAAGTCCTCCTCCCATTCTGTATGGAAATGGTAGATCTTTTGCTTCTTACTTGGTCCCGCTCCTCAACTCATTTTACACACTTTCTTGAGTTTAGATTAAAAGAAAAAAACTGGAGGCAACTTGGTAGTTTTTGGTGCCGTTGTTTGCGCATGTGTGGCGACCGATGTGTCAGGAAAGGTCCGGTCTCAGATTGGCTGCCCTATACCAGTATGTCAATCAAGTGAAGAATTGCATAGTGAGGATGGATGATAGGCTGACGTCTATGTAAAAAATAAAATAAAAAAGGCTGATGTTTATTTTGCCATGTGATCTACTCAAATTGCCTTCGCGATCGACGTATTGGCACCCCGGTCTACAACGATCTAAAACCCACAGGGTGAATTTGTAGTCTAATCCTGCTTGTTTACATTTTTAGGATAAACCGTGAAGCAAATGTTTCTGAGCTTAGACTGCACTTTGTTTTGTTCACTTTGCTTCAGAGCGTTTAAGATCAGAGCCGGGTGGTTGAGCTGGACGGAGGAGAAGAATAACGGTGACAGAGGAGATCTCACCGCTCGTAGACAGAATCACACTCAATAGACCAAAAGAAAAAGATCTGAAGTGGGAAATGTGATTAAAAAAACTTTGTCTGCTCAGAAAGGCAGAAAGGAGTCGGTGAAAAAAACCATCAGGACGGGAAAATGTAAAGAAAAAAAGGAGAGGAAAGAACAGATGGAGTGGGCTGGGACTGTTCTGGTGCACGATGGGATGATCAGCATGTGGTTGCAGTATGCTACTGCTAATATATACAGAATATATATAACTCCATGAGTCACTGACTGACTGAACGACCTTTTCATTCATAACGAGTCACACTTCTCTGATGTGTCAGTGATACGAACGCTGAACATCCTCCTTGATGCCAAACTGACCTGAAACAGTTTAAACTTAATCATGCGTTGAATATGTCTGATCTCCAACAAAAGCCTCTTTATTAGCACCCAGCACAGAACGTGACTCCAAAGCATCATGTTTCTATGTCTGTGTTCATTTGTAGCTTTAAGTGAATGGTGGATCTACTTGCACAACTGACAAACTTTTTGGAGTCGATCCAATACAAGATGGCCACCACTGCAAACTAATAATTAAAAACAAACTTGAATGGCTACAACGCAGCCAAGTTATACAGAAATTGAGCTAAATCTGGTGTGATGGAAGCAGGAAGTTTTCCTCAAGAGGAGATCTCGCGTAACGTCATTTACAAGGTTTGACCAAAACATACTCAGGGTTCCCAGGGACTATGGAAAACAGAGAAAACCTGGAAAATGACTTTCACGTTGTTCATACCGGGAAAACTCAATGAATTTGAGAAAAACATCATAAATGGTAAATGGACTGTACTTATACAGCTCCTTTCTATCTTATCAAGATACTCAAAGCTCTTTACACTATAATCTGTGCCCTCATTTACCCATTCATACAGCACTCCACTATACCTTTACAAAGAATAATCAGAGCTTTATCACATTCATACACTGATGGGACACACATCGGAGGCAGTGAGGGGTTCAGTGTCTTGCCCAGGGGCACTTCAACATGCGACTGCTGGTGGAATCAAACCCCCAACTCTCCCATTGGAGGACGACTGCTCTAACCACTCAGCCACAGCCTCCATAAGGAAGAGGGCCGGCAATGGAGGGGGAGGCATGCCGAAGAGACCATCTTAGCACCAACATAACTGGTTTGTTCCACTTTGGAGTGAGCTGTTGGAGGAAGAATCAGTTTTGTTGTGCATTTCCTTGACTGATGAAGCCTTCTGGATCGAAGGCGAAATGTTTCAGCACAAAAACAAAGAAACTGTTCAGATGACCTGACTGAAAAATGTTGGATAATAAATCATGATGATAAATCTTATAAATGATGTTTGCCAGCTAGTTGTAGCCTGTATATTCTAATACGCGAAAGGCTGTGGGCAACTTCAAGGATGTCAGACCTTAAAATTCTTTAAATATTACTTATATAGTCTTTCTCACACATCAAACGTGGTTTGTTCAAACCACGTGGTTTGTATCGAGGTTAAGCTATACTACAAAGTCCATGCTCAATAATCCAGGTATACAATCCAACATTTTTCAGTCAGGTCATCTGGACAGTTTCTTTTTCTGTGCTGAAACGTTTCAGCTTTAATCCAGAAGGTTTCATAGAAAAAAAAAAAAAAAGACTTTTGACAAACTCCTTCCAGTAACTTTAGGAGTGTAAAAGTACATTTCAGTCCAATGTGGATTGATTCCACCTGTTTGTGCTGCAGCGCAGGGAGCGAAAGTGAGCACACCTGTAAGCATGCAGAGCCTGTTCTGCTGTCAGTGACTAAGAGTTTACGCAGCTTGGTTCTGCTGCAGACCGACCCAACTTTCTGAGTCCAGTTCTAGTTGTTGCTGAGGCAACCGTCAGCGCCACCGTACCGTATATAGCATCTCGTACTGAGGTTCTGGTGGACACTGGCTCTGAGTTTTCTGTCAAAGCGTTCAGCGTTCCTATATTCCACACATTCTTATTATTTTTATCATTTTAAACAGACATTTATACATTTAAAACTGAGGTTTACCAAACAAGACATTTAAATGTATTAAAATTAAAAATAAGAATAAAAATAAATTAATACAATAAAAACACAGGTCTAGATTTGAAACTTCTAAAAAATATTTTGGGCCAATGTACTCTGACAGTGTGCGGGGGTTAAAAAAATACATTAATAGGACGGGGAGATTTACAAACTTTAAAATAAACAACAAAATTGTAAAATTACAAACTGAATGCAAAGAGTTTAAAAAAATGAAACTTGTGTTCAAGTTTTGTTTGGAAATGTACGTCCGTCTGTTAGTGCATGCTGTGAGCAGGATAACTTGAAAAATATGTGACGTACCGACTTCTATTTTAGTGTGTGGCTGCATCTCGTAAGGAAGGTTCCTTTCAAAAATTGAGTTGCCACGCCATAATCCAAGATGTCTGCCGCCATATATGTAAATATGGTAAACTTGTGAGCAGGATAATTTGAAAAGCATGCAACATGCCAACTTCCATTTTAGTGCGTGGCTGCATCTAGACATCTTTATTGGGGGTAATAAACAAAAAATTAGTGGGTTTACATGAAAAACCTTGTAGTTTCCATGTCAGTCGGGTTGCCAGATAAGAAATAATGAACTATAGTACTGTGGCTTTAAAATGATAATATTTTGACCTGAACTGTCACATGTGCTGATTCTAAGATGAGGTGTGTGTTGTATTTGTTGAACATGTGCACAGAAAAGGAGGGGGTAAATAAGACATTTTAATTTTATCTGGCAACCCTGATGCAGGGCTCAGTTGCATTCATTGTGCATGCAGCGTCTGCATGACAGTTCCTCCAAACTGGTGAAGACACTAACATCTCTTTGGAACCAGGATTTTATTAGTTTTGCTCCTACAAGCTGAAAAGGGGTGAGCAGCACAAAAACACTCTGCTTTCTGCCATTTATTATAACGGTTGTTATATTTTTTAACTATTGTTATATTTATTATAACTGTTGTTATATTTATTAACTGTTGTTATATTTATTATAACTGTTGTTATATTTATTATAACAGTTGTTATATTTATTAACTGTTGTTATAT